GCTGCTTACAAATGTAAAAGAAAAAAAGCATGTTTATTAATCTATTTGTTGTGTGAACAGTCAGTTCTCCGACTTTACCAGGACTAACATATAGAATTTGACCAATCATGGAGCAGTGCATACTAAATATAAAATTATAATTATTATTTTGGCGGTTTTAATGCTGAGAAATTAAGTTTTAAGTAGTCAGTCACTAACGCCTTTTCATCCAGATTCCAGCCAAGTGGTTGCTCTGCGACAACAAACCAAATTCTACCTCATTCATTCGTTAAATCAGTTATCGCTGGAACACCAGAATAAATTTAACAATTTTTTTTATAACCACTGTAAGCATTTATCTCATTAACAAAATAATAAAATTAAATACTTAAAACGAAATTTTTTTTTCAAAACAAAGCATGGCCGTCGAATTTTTCGATTCCTTCTTTTTCTGGTCAAAATACTAAGAGATTGGAATATATATATATATAGATCTCAAAAACTTTGAAGTTCCTCTCAATAAAAGAAACCAAGAAGAAAAAGTCTAATTACCAAAGCACAATTATAGATCCCCGGAAATATTAATGCTTATTTCAAACTATGAGACCCAATAAAAGTCTTAAAACTCACGTTAAACTCTCTGAATCTAGCAATACCTAATCTCTTTTCTGAATAAGATTGCGAGAAATTTGAGATAGCAAACCACCATGCACAAACATAGAAATTCTTCCCACTGCAGCCAGATCAGATGACCCCTATATCTTGCGTTGAGAAGCTGAAGTAACTCTCAACGCATGCAAAAATATATTGACCTGAAAATACATGCTTGCAATAGAAACAAATGAAGTTTGCTGTCCAGAGGCAATGGTGCACCTTAACATGCACCGACTATTTCATAGTAAGTCCAGAATTGCAGCACCTGCATTGACGTGGAGAAAATAACATGTTGAAATAACTTTGCGGTATCTTTTCCATTTCTGTCTTCCAACACAACAAGACCCGTCTTCTGTTCATTTCCTCCTTATTAGGATTAAAGTGATAAATCAGAACCTAACACCGAAACTATAATCAAAGAGAGCCCAGTACATCTACCACTGACAAAAGACCGCAACTGTTAAAGACCCTGCAAGTCCACTATGATAAGCGCAACAATACAGCTCCATCTATACTTTTACAAAATTCACAAAAGACCACAAAGTGTCAAATTTGGGTGAAACTGCCTCATCTTTATATATGCAATCATCCACAATCAGACAACTGCAAATGAGGACTCTCCCACAAACCATAGTCACTTTGACAAGCATCACATTGAGATCATCCTTGCATGTCCAACATATTTTTCTATATAACAAAGCAACCATCAACAGAAACTTTAGAGAGCAAATGCAATTCCCATTAGAATGAGTTACCGGGATAAAGTAACTGCTCCTGACATCACACCCAGATAGTTAATAAAGACCCAGAACTCAAGTAGCATCAACACATCACTCACCAGTTAGCCCCTCTACTTCTCCCATCGCCAACTCTGTCAATTATGGAGTAATGAGCCACGAGAGCTGCTTGTCTAGCCCCTAAGCATTTTACTAACAACCTTACCACAACCATCATGGAGCAGAAGCCATTTCCTTGAAAGAGTGTATTCGTGCAAGAAATGCGGTATGCAGATGCTGAATTTCTATGGAACTAAACATCCCATATACAATGGATGCCAAAAATTAAAGAGTCTCTCCGGAATGTGGTCCCTGGTCAGCTATTAGGCAGAGCCCCTCAGTTGATCACAGATGGTTAGCATCCAAAAGAAAATAGTCTTCAAATGCCGTTCCTAATAAGTATTCCCGGTCATTTTTCACCCTGTAGACAACAGTGTAGGGAGAAAAGAACCCTGCATATTACAAAGTATGAACTTACAATCGGGACGGTCAAAACAATTAGTCACCAAAGCATAGAAATACATATGCAAAAAGTTGTAAAATTTTATATACAAAATTGACAAATTACTGAAACATTTATGTTAAAAGGTATGAACAAAAAATTTTAGGAAAATTGTATACTATAACAAAAAACGACACTAGCAAAAAAGGGAAAATAATAATAGCAAAACATTTGTAACCTAAGGAACAAAACCCCAAGAGTCTTATAAATGTCTAAAAACTCATCTACGCAAACATGTGATCAGCCTAAACCAGAAGGAAATTTGAAAAAGATGCGAGAATCCACTAAGCTTCCAAAATTAGACCAAGATTAAAGCACAGAAAAAACTCAAACCTCAATAAGTTATCTATGTCATTGCTGTACAGAAAAGGACAATAATCACATATAAAGATCCAGAATAAATCAGGGCTGAGGTAAAAAATTATCCAGGTAATAACTAACAACCCGAGCAAACTAACATCTTTTAGATATAAGACATCCCATCAGTTTGCATCAGCGCATTCTGGAATCAGTTTTGAACTCGAAAGTTTTTTGGGATCAAAATACAGACTAGAAACTGCAGAAAACAATATAGAAACATTTTCATGACCTAGTGTGTTGCACTTTATTATGTATTAATAGCATATAACACACTGAATGCGAAGTCACAGAAAACATACATTGATGACCTAGAGTTTTACACTTTAATTGAGCACCAATCATGTCCTAAATTAAATCACAACCTAAGTAGCCTTCATAGTGAAAACAAACACAGGATCCACTAATCCACTATATCATATTTTATGCAGGGTGGTTGCTAATGATTAGAAAATACTTTTGGACAACCATTAAGTTCTAATGAAAGAGCTAACAAAACACTGAGCTTCCTCAGTAACTAATAATCATGAATCAATTATGAAGAGAAAAATAACTTCTAACTGCATCCATATTGCTGGGAAGGAATGGTCGATGCAGAAAGAATGAAAAAGATCTTCACAAATAATTTTATGTTACATAGAACCACAAATACATGGTTTCTGTGAGTCATTTATGACATCTATGTACAGCAAACAAACCAAATTGATCCCTGTATCTTATAACAACCAATGTGTTTGCAGTCACCTTAAGGAAAAAAACACACAAAACGGCATCCAGAGAGGACTATACAACTCTTGAATTTAGCAGCTCATTAGCAGCCTCCATAAATGCCTCTCTAAAAAGTTCTCAACCAGACATAGAATCACCATATATTTGCTGACTCCATAGATGTATGATTACAATCTTCTTGATCAGATCCACAGCTAAAAGCATCATGCAGAAGATTAGTCAATAACACCTTCGACTTTTAAAGGTATAGCAAGGATTCACAACTTTTACATAGAACCCGGCTTAGTAGAGACTGATCTTTGAACAAACAAAATTACCATTTGCATCACTTAGCCGAAGAAATGCGCTGCAAGGATGAAATCCAGCTACTTGAGGGACCAACTTTATTACTCTGCCCATACGTAGGATTTGCAGCTTCAGCAGGTTTAGAGGAGTTTCTTTTTGAGGTACCAGCAAGTGAAAATGCAGTAGATGGCATGTGACCACTAATCTGCAAAATCAATTTTTAACAACAGTGACCAAAGGGCATTAAATATAACTGTGCTGTGTAAGTAAAAAGACACCAAATAAAATACGCATCAACCATTAAAATTGTGGAAAAAACAAACTTATGCTGCGAAAACACAACTATAATGCATTTACACATCCACAGCAACAGTATGTTAGTTGAGGCAAAAAAAAACATATGTATGATTCTTCCTTGGCGATATTTTTTCCCTATAACAAACTTGGTTTGAGATATTGATGAAACTTACATTTTTCTCAACAGGATGATCCAATCCCAAATTCTTCCCCATCGTGGATCTAAATTGCATTCGTATTGCAGGACCAGTAGCATTATTTGATCTAATGTGCTCACTGACCTCAGCTACATGGGGAGCATTGCTGCTTCCTGTTAAATAGGGACCAAACCAGCATCAATAAAGTTCCTATATAATTCCCCAGCGTAATGAAAGAATTCTCTGTGGTTGTCAGTTTATATATATAATTTGAATGCAATAGAATACAACAAAAAACACCAAATGCCTCAAAAATTATAAAATTTTGGAGAACTTCTGATGTGCTTATACAACATTCTCATCTAAGAGAAACACTTTAAATATTCCCAAGAAGATAGCACAATCTTCTGGGGAAAAAGAGAGTATAGATTTATTTAAAGTGAGAGTAATAAATGCTCCAATCACCTTCTAAACCCAAATTTACTTCCAATAATTGGGAGATTAGATCAACTCACCAAGTGATCTTTAGCAACAGCAGATTGGTTTGCTTTGATTATATAATCCATAAATCATGCATATAAAGAAGGGTCAGGCTCTTTAACCCAGCACTTTGTACACATTCAAATCAACTTGCCCTCACTAAAATCTTACAAAAGCTTAGTATATCCGAAATTAAATTCTTCTTTCATAATAGGTTAAGTGACTTCAATATAATAGTCACTTGACATACATAAAGTACCTAGAAGATGCTAACCTTGATGATGATTGTCCATATCCATAAGCATTGCATGGTTACTGCTACCCCCAGGAACTGGCTGAATTTATGGAATAAAGGAACATCAACAAACTATCAATTTCGGAAACTTTAAAATATCACATGCCAAATAACTTTCCTTGCTAAGGTGAATTTTAGAAGAGAGAGCAAGAGATGTTACTGACTGATAATCGAGTTTGAGTTCTATTTTTTTGTGACTGCTGGTACTTGATTATAGTCCAATCAAAGATATAGTCAGATTCATATCCTGCCACGAAAAGGACCAAACTAAGTAAGATATATTGCATGAGAAACTACCCAACAGCATCAGAAGCCACACATCATTTGCCCCTTGAACTGGTTGCTACGAAATGCTTCTGAAAAGAACTGTCAAAAAGATATTAATAGCAACTAACATAAGTTTGAACAACACCTTCCTGTTCCCTCATAAAGAAAAATTCCAAAAGTTATGTTTGTGCTCTAATAGTAGGACTTCAATCATGGAGTAGGAAACCAGCAAAAGTAACAAACTAAACTTGAGCACTACCTTCATGGGCAAACAAATCACGAAACAAGCGCTTCAAGAATCCATAATCAGGTCGCTGATCAAATGTTAACGAATGGCAATAATGGAAGTACGATGCAAACTCCACAGGATGTGATTTGCACAGAACCTTAAGAAACACAAATAGAGAAGGGTCAATCTTATGCTTCACGTAACCAATAGTCTGGAACTTCTCAAGGCACAGAATAATGGAGAACACACCTCAATAGGAGTCGATAGTTTTTTCTCACAAATTTTGTCATATTTCTGCTTCTTTGTGGCAGCTTTAAGACCCTGCCACGGAAGGCTGTATTGAAACATTGATAAAGTTAAGACACATATAAATAGTCTAGGGCAAATCAATATGTATTGCGGTTGTCTAATTCAACATTCTATCACTGCCCTGTCCACCAGAAAACAATATACTAGTTGCATGACAACTAATTACAACAGCTTTTATTTAAAAAAGTTGAAAATGTAATGCATACCTTCCTCTAAGAAAATAAAGAAGTACATATCCAAGTGATTCCAGATCATCTCGACGACTTTGCTCTACCATGAAGCATCCAATGAAATTAGAACAATTTAGGAGCTTGTCTTGCCGGGATGAAAAAAGAAAAAAATATACCACCAGAAAGTTGCCTTACCAATTCCAAGATGAGTATTGCAACTTGCATAACGTGCAGTTCCAGTTAGGTTCTTGTTTTCCCTACATATAACAATGGTTAGCTACCACAATCAAGCAGGAATCTTATTATTTCCCAGTATGAGGGCTTAAAGTCTTAAGAAACATAAGGAAAATAGCAAACAGTTTCTCAGCAGATAACAGAGATGAACCTAAAGTATACCAACAATTAATAAGTTAAACAGAGAACTACCTGTATGGGATATGGCGGTTAGTTGCGGCATCGCGGTATCTTTTGGCGAGCCCAAAATCAATTATGTATACCTGATGATTAAAATACAAGCATTAGAATGATGGGACCGAATGGCCAGCAATAATAAATTAGAAGTAGAAGGTACAACTCACGTCAGTTGGCATAGAGAGAGATGGTATAATTATTACCTGATTTGCTTTCCGTCCAAGACCCATGAGGAAGTTATCAGGTTTTATATCTCTATGCAGAAATCCTTTGGAGTGCACATATTCTATTCTTGTAATCTGGAAAAGAAAACAATTAAAGAAATGAACAATCAAGGAGTACATCATAGATTAACATCAGTCATCCATATAACCTCTGTCTCACAATCATATCAAACACAAGCATTTTATCAAATCAGTCCAAGAAGAAGTTTATGGTGCAAGCTTCTACTAGCTAAGACACAATATTCTTTGTTCATAATGTCTAAGCGTGTAATAAACAAGAGAGTAGGAACCTCTGTTTGCTTCAAAGTTTTAGAGAATGCAAACTATGAATTTATGCTCACCATTTGATCAGCCAACATTAGCACTGTCTTCAGTGAGAATTTCCTCCCACAATACACAAACAAATCCTCAAGACTTGGCCCAAGAAGATCAAGGACAAGGACATTGTCCTCCCCGTCTACACCAGACCATTTTATTCCGGGAATTCCACCTACAAATTTAATTGACAAAAAATTCTGTAATTATCAGCTGTGCGTATTACAAACATACTAAAATGCACAATGCTTCTGCATACACATATATATTTTCGCATCCATGCCTAAGTAAACACACACATATCAAATGCAAATGAGCTACAGAATGACACATACTTCCTCCCTGAAGAATATTGTATAACTTAGCTTCGTACAGAAGTTGCGGATGCTTCGTTTTATTGTTTTCCTACAAATAACCCATAAATAAAGGATCATCAATCCTTAAGTTTCAAGTAATTAAAGGAAATGGAAGAACGAACACTACAGTATCTTTCCCGGAAATTAACAATTCTATACTAGCCATCAATTCATGACTCTAGATAAAAGCATAAGCCTCAACATCTGAGAGTAAACTTCAAATACATATCATGCCTGCCAGAGACAAATCAATCAGAACCGTAATCAAAGATCGCAATCAGATTACGATCTGCCTGTTTCCATCACTGCAGAAAAAACTAAGCAAACCGTAAAATCGAGAGATCAATCAAGAACTTACAATCTTAACAGCAACGATCTCGAACGTGTCGATGTGTGTAGCTGCAAAATCCACACAGATTAATCAGCATCATGAATACAGATATATTACAGTATGACATATAGATAGGTTTAGAAAAAGAAAGTATAGGTTAAAACAGACCGAGAAAGATTTCGCCGAAGGATCCACTGCCGATCTTGCGGCCGAGCTTATATTTACCACCGACGATGCGTTCCATGTCCGCGATTGTAATTAACCGGATCAAATCATGCAAAGAGGATCTAGGGTTTTCACTGTTTATCTAGAACTTTTTGTATTGAAATTAAAAAAGAAAAATAGATTTAATAGATTGAAGAAGAAAAATGACTTTTGTCAATGGCTCTGCTTTCTAATATATAACCAAGGAGACAGAAGACTGGAACCACAGAGAAAGAGAGAGAAGTTTAGAGCAAAGGAACAGGAGGAGTTCGGGTTTTGAGAGATAAGGAAAAGATTTGCAGGGGCAGTTTTGGGATTTTGATTAGGTGGTGAAGCGCTGACGAGTTGACTAATGGGGGCGTTTATCTCGTGAACAAAGTAGGTTGGACTTTGCTTTGCGCATAAAATGAGTGTTATGTATGGATGGATTAGATAGCTTCCTAAGGGTATTATTGTCATTTAACTCAATGGGGATGAGGGATTGTATGCTTTCGGTAAATAAAACGACGGCGTAGGGCCAATTTAGGAAAGAAGGCGGTGGCTAGCGGCGCTGCTGAGTATAAAAGTTTTTTATTTGAGGAATAGATGAATTTCATAAAATTTATTTTATGTTTATATTTTAAATTATGTAATTTGTTCAAAAAATTGTAGTGATTTACTTTAGATTTTATTTAAGGATTTAAAATCGTAAAGCACTAATGGTATTGGAAACTAATTTTTTTAAATAAAAATTGGTAATTTAGAATAATTGAAAGGTAAAAGAAGATTACAGACAATTTTTTAATTATTATTTACTCTTTTCTAATTCATATGTCAAAACTATCTTAAGCTTTTAAACAAATTATTTTAACATATATTTGATAATAATCTAAACTTATCTGTAATTAGAATTAAATGAAAGCAACATATAATTTAATCTGTACAATTAAACTATTTATTTATAATTTTTTAATAAATTGATATTTATTCGCATAATTTAAGTTGTTCTAATATAAAATCTATTATATACTAGTCTATGTATTTGGAATTTAGGAAATGTTCCGAGTGGTTTCACAAATTAACAACAGTAAGAGAAAGCCCACTGTATTGGGCTTCTTCAACCACATTTAGCCCTCAATCTTTTATATAAATAAATATAAAAAGAAAAAATTAAGAAACATGATATATAAGGCAAGAGTACGTATAATTTAATAACAAAATTTCGAAATGCTTTTCACGACCCTTGGAATTTTTCACTTAGAATATATTTGAGATTGTTTATTTTTGTACTAATAAACAGTCTGAAACACTTTGTTTCAGTCTTTTTATTTAATAAACAATATTTATAAAAACATTTTTAAAAAAAAAAATTAAAAAAAGTATTCTTATTTTCTTCTCTTTGAATAAAATGACAATTGCACTTGAATTTAAAAATCTGCACCAAGTAAAAAAAAAAAAACCCCCCACAAAATAAGGCAATATCTGAACAAGTACAAATTCTATGTACATATATGTATATGTATATGTATATATAACGCCTCCAAAGTTAAAAGGCGTGTTGTAGCTGAATACAATGGTTATGAATCCAAGTGACACAAAATTATCAAAAGAACTAGTTAATTATCAAACCCAACTATTTTCTATCTTCCTTACTTATATTAGCTTATAAAAAATCTTTTGGGAGTTCCCCTCTACCATCACGTGAGTCATTCCAAGTCGTGTCTGCTTCGGCCACCTCAACAAAGATTTGTGCACGCTCTTTTTTCATGTCTTCAAAAAATCATGCTCTCAGCAGATACCCTCAATTTTCCGTATGTATTTTAGCTTGAGGAAGCCCTCTTGAGGGGACATCCAAGCTTGTTATCTCTATGTAGACAACATTCGATTTTGTTTTTGCCTTGAGCATTTTATTACTCCTTCAATCAACTTGGTAATACATAATTAAGCAATTGGGATCAAACTATTTTCTTCGGAACACCTATTGATTTCAATTCTATCATATTGTTATAATGAACTAATAGCATGATAAACTCAGCAGTGGACAAAGTTTCCACACATTAGTTGCATAATCACAAGAATAAAACAAGTGATCAAGTGTTTCTTCATCTTTCCCATATGTAGGATGTATACCATTAATCGCCGCTCTTTTATTATTTAGGAAACTCCTTGCGGATGTTAGTGGGTTCAACTCACATTAAATCTAAAAGGACAATATATATATATATATATATATGTAATTGTTTTTTTTTTTTTTTAAGATTTGTTTTGTGTATTTGCGTAGAATTTAAAATTTTAAACAGAGTAAAATATATATATATATATATATATATATATAATGAAGAGTTTGTGACTAATGATAGGATACAACTAAAATCATTGAATAAAAAAGAAGAACAAAAAACTCATTTGGGATGCATAAGAATTAAAGAAAAAATTGTGAGAATTCTTTTGTTCTTTGATTAGATTTTTAAAGCGTTGCCAGAAATTAATTAATTAATTTATTAGAAAAATTATTTCTTAAGTAGTTATTTACACACAAAAAGATTTGTAATGTATTGTTTAGAAAGATAATTTAAATATCTTTTGGTTATCGAATCTAAATTTATGAGTAATTTTTAAAAAATATATTTGATCTGAATTTTTTTTTTCTATCTACGCTTAGAGAATTTTTCAGTGTAAAATTTTGTGTTCTGTCTCTATTTTATTTGTGCCTATTTAGTTTAGTTCTTGAATCCACGTTGAATATTTTTCAAAATCTGTCTTTAATTAAATTTAAACAATGATATTATCTAAAGTGCAACAACTCCCTCTAAACTAGATTTTTCTTACCACGGTTGGCTCTCCATAACTTCTACAGCATAATTGAACTCGATTTTGCAGGCCAAGCTCTCTTTTATAACCTGATCTCTTAGTTTATCAAAATGCATAATTGTTTATTTTTTAAACATAATCAATCTACTTAAAAGATCCTTCAAATAGAATCACACAATTTGATGCACCACAGTGACATAAGAACCAATCAAAATTTAATTAGTAAATTGATATAATTTTTTTACAATAATATATTGATAAAGGGTTCGGTTTGTACCAACTTAAAAACTCATTAATTTATTCATTGTAATTGGTGAATATAAAGGTTGTAAATTTATTTTTATATAAGATATAATAGGTCATATGTGATAGATAGTTTAAAAATATTTCTGAATTAATTTTTTTTATTTGAAAATATATAATAAGGTTAAAAAATATAATTTAGAGTTAAATCGAAAAATAACAGATAAACATGAATAAGTTAGAATAAATATGAAAAGACATGGAAAAAGGTATGAATCTTTTAGATGAAGTTGTATAATGAAAAATAATGACTTTTAGATGTAGTGACATAATGAAAAGTGACAATTTTTATATGAAGCGACATATGTAGTAATCTTTTAAATGAAATGACACGTGAAAAATAATAACATTTTAAATAAAATATATAATACCCCGCTCACCATTGTGCTACATTTGTATTTAAAAACACTTATTTATTCGGGTCTTAAAACCACTTAAATTTATCTCATAGTTTTATATTGTATTTCGTAAATTAAATTCATAATTTTAATTTTATTATAATTTCATTATTTTATTTTATTTTGTTATATTTTACAAAAAATTTCAGAGAAAGATGAGCAAAAGGGTGAATCCCGCAGAATGCCCAGGAAGACCCGCCCGTGTGGCATCACACGCTATGCACATGCGTGTTCGTGCAGTCAGCACAAGACGTGCGCACTATGCGCACGGCCCTGTCCGTACGGGGCGTGAGGCCGGTCTGTGCGCATGTCCCATTGCGCGTATATGAGCTAGTCAACGCGCGTCACATCGCGTAAGGATAGGGCCAGGTGTCGTGTGCCCTGTGTGCGCGCTATCCGCGCAGTAAACCTGTTTGGGTGGCGAGCCGCCGCTAGTTAGAGGATTCTTCCTCCATTTTTTGCGTCACCATCACCTCACGTCACATCACTCTTTTTTCACTCAACTTTCTCTCTCTTCATCAGATTTTGCCACTTGGTGTAAATCCAATTGTCCCCATTTTCTATAAATAGGGATTCTTTTCTTTCATTTTTCTCATTATTTTTATTTCATTCTTCCATCCTCCAATAGCTTAGAGAGAGAGAGTGATCTAGAGTGAGAAGGAGAGGAGAATAAGAAGAAAAGTGTAGGAAAACTTTAAGATTTCAGTAAAAAATTTAGTATTTTCTTAAACATCTTAAGGAGCATTTCTAAAAATCAAAATTATGAAGTTTGAGATTTATGATTTACATGATTTATGTTAATTGTTCCAATGAAATGAATTGTTCTTAATTAAGCACGTTATGAGATTTTATAGGTACTTGATTATTTGCATGTGATTTAAATAACATGATTTTGGTGATAATTTTTTGAAATATGAAAAGAGGAATGAGCATGAAATGGTCCAAAAAAAATATATTTGTATTGACATGCATAATACATCAAGTGTCTCGTTAGACTTTTTATCTCTAAGAGATTTCTGTTTTTTCCTCCCCCATATGGCATGAAAAGACGTGAGAATACCGCTCCCTGTGGATGATGGCGCACCGTTTGACGAGAGCGGTGACACGAATATTTATTAGGGATCACATTTGGCTAAGTACTGCCATGACTATAGAATATCTGATAAGACCACTGTGGTTGATACGACTGTGATCATAGATCGTGTCATGGTTTGGCAAACTGGAAATGTGCCGTGAGCAAATTATCGTTATATATCTAATATGGTCATTCCACATGGATAGTTGAAAATTCGTATATGCCCTCTGTAGATGGAAGTTGGAACGACTTTGCAAAGTATGACACAAAAATATAAATATTTCATGATTTATTTAATTTTTTCTATTATTATTGGTTTGATTGTTGTGATTATGATATGATGGATCTAATATTTTCTTTAATAAATAAAATTATTTTCATAAAGTAAGAAAGGACCCTAACATGATCCGATGGTAAGTGTTGATAATGTAATTATTCACTTTTAAAATCTTATAATGTCATTTACATATTGTTTTGCTTACTGAGTATATGTCACTCACCCATTTTCATGCCTCCCTAGATGAGGAAGATAGTGAGGAACCGATCACTGACCTACCCCTTAAAGTTTATGAGGATCCCATGGATCCACAAACCTTAAGTGCATGATTTGTCCCGTACTCTGATGAGTCTATTCGCATAGTGAAAGAAGTGACCCTTTTTATATTTTGATATTTTGTATTTTGTTGTCACTTCTAGTCTCAGTTATATATGTGTAATTGGAACTCGTATACATTTTG